TTAAGTAGCTAAAATGATGAATGAGCCTATTCCTAAGGTATTAAGGTACAAAATTTATCTTTGCCATCACTCCACTTTGTTTAACTTGTATTGTAAAAGGTCTCGTGAAAGAAAGCATGGGAGGTAAAGATGGTGGTAAAACAGAGAAATGTTAGAATTGTATGATAAAGGTTGAGTTAGGATAGTCTTACAAAATTCAACAAATTGACAGTATCTCTGACCACCTGAATACAGTGATACTTGTCTTATATACTGTCATTTGTTTAGTTCGCCTGATACTTATTTATATTTTACTCCACAAATCTAGATGCAATCAAACAGTGGTCTGGTGAAGACGATGAAATCGGCGTCGGAGTCGAATCCAGATGAAGAAAAACAACACAGTGTCCACGACGCGCAACTGCCGTTCCCAGAAGTGGACACTTCACCCATTTTCAGCAGAAAAAATCTTTCTATGAAGAAGAACTAGCTCACATTAAGCCCGCGGAGAAGTAGCACTCCTAATATAGAGGCTCGGCGTCCCGATTGCACAGTGATTTCAGACAATTATGCAGAAGAAAGGCTGGAGTCTCTGGACGCTGACCAAGTTGCAGATGTAACCAGTGGACCACTAAATGTGACTTACGACATTCCTGGAGTCCACAAACATAATGAACCGTCCCCACAGATAGACAAGACGAAAACCACTTCGGTCGATATCCAAGACAGAAACGAACTGAGCAAAACATTTGTGATAAAACGAGGCTAAAAACATAAACCGAACAAACAGGCACATCAGATTATTACTATTATTTTTAGAATGATATGTAGAAGCCTCCCTTTAATACTTTATAAAGCTTTGAATACTTCAACGATCATTTTGTATAACGTGGTAAAATAAACCTCATGTTTTCAGTGAGAAGCTGTCTTACTCTTTACATTGATATCGAGTGAGCAAATAAAGAGTGCATGCCGATTCCCGTTAGTGTTTTACGTTTGTTGTGTACTAGTATCATATCCATTGGAGTAGGGAGATTCGGCTCCTATTCCTTAGGTTTCTATGTGCTAACCGTTGGTATTTTCATAGGTTCACATGTCACTCCTCATTGTTCAAGACCAGTATGAAGTTAACTGTATTAAACTTAGCTACAGTTGTCTTACTTCTCACGTCCACTGAAGGATAAACAAGCTGTAAGGAGTCTGGTGCTGGGTGTCAGAATGTCATCGTCGATTGGCAGGATACAACAGGTGATGAAGGAGGGGGCTGTTTCATCGTAGATCAGAGGAAATCAATGGTGTGAGAATGCAATTGTAGCCGTATGTTCTGTGCATTCATTTCATACTTGAATGTCAGGGGAATAAGTTCAGCAGGTAGTTTAAACTTGTAGTTCATTAGAGTAGTTTTGTGGAAGGTGAGCATTCTTTCAAAGCACCTACATGAGTGAATTGCATTGCCTTCCACGTGACTAGGGTTACCAGTATCTATGTGAAAACCGGATTATTTTAAATAAATTTATAGCGATTCAATGTGATTCGGCGTTCGAATTATCACAGAAAATTCGTAACATCTACGGTCTGGAAACTAATAAGCACCAAGGTAGTGCAACATTCACTATTGACTCTTACTACGTACATTGATTGGGCTAGATGGGAAGTAGACATCGGGTTACATGGATCGCATATGTCAAATGGATTTTGGACCCTCGGTCTTGTTCTACACAGTGTAGTGTATGATTGAGGTGGAGAAGAATTAGAGATGATCAAGCTACAACATGGAATTCATTCATGAAATCATTGTTTCTTGTTCTTAGCCATCATTTGAGGTGTGGCTTGTCTGGCTATCGATATTTCTAATAAACAAAGTGATATGGAATTGCATACTACCATAGTGATCAAGTTTTACGCATGTTTTTAATTGTTATGTGAAGACAGTTCACTGACTTTCTGCCAATGAGTACTCTGTTCGAATTCTACTCCACTTCGACAACTAGGTAGAGTCATTAGCTCTAACCTAATAGGTGTAGCAGAAATCCTTGTGTACACGAAGATGCTGTTCCCGGAGTTACTGACTACCTATAAATTGTACAGTCAAAGAAACAGCTGGTATGTTCAGAGTTATTTAGTTTACTTTATGTTTGAAGTTAAATTCGAACTGGTCAGAGATACTGTCAATTTGTTGAATTTTGTAAGACTATCCTAACTCAACCTTTATCATACAATTCTAACATTTCTCTGTTTTACCACCATCTTTACCTCCCATGCTTTCTTTCACGAGACCTTTTACAATACAAGTTAAACAAAGTGGAGTGATGGCAAGGATAAATTTTGTACCTTAATACCTTAGGAATAGGCTCATTCATCATTTTAGCCACTTATTACACAACAAGTTATCAGTTACTAAAACTTTGGACATTACAAATCACTACTTATATACTGACTTTTCTGAAATTGAAAGTTAACTATATCTATACACAGTTAACTTTCATGTGTTAAGTAGCTAAAATGATGAATGAGCCTATTCCTAAGGTATTAAGGTACAAAATTTATCTTTGCCATCACTCCACTTTGTTTAACTTGTATTGTAAAAGGTCTCGTGAAAGAAAGCATGGGAGGTAAAGATGGTGGTAAAACAGAGAAATGTTAGAATTGTATGATAAAGGTTGAGTTAGGATAGTCTTACAAAATTCAACAAATTGACAGTATCTCTGACCACCTAAATACAGTGATACTTGTCTTAAATACTGTCATTTGTTTAGTTCGCCTGATACTTATTTATATTTTACTCCACAAATCTAGATGCAATCAAACAGTGGTCTGGTGAAGACGATGAAATCAGCGTCGGAGTCGAATCCAGATGAAGAAAAACAACACAGTGTTCACGAGGCGCCACCGCCGTTCCCAGAAGTGGACACTTCACCCATTTTCAGCAGAAAAAATCTTTCTATGAAGAAGAACGAGCTCGCATTAAGCCCGCGGAGAAGTAGCACTCCTAATATAGAGGATCGGCGTCCCGATTGCACAGTGATTTCAGACAATTATGCAGAAGAAAAGCTGGACTCTCTGGACGCTGACCAAGTTGCAGATGTAACAAGTAGACCGGTAAATGTGACATAAGATATTCCTGGAATCCAAAAACATAATCAGTCATCCTCACAGATAGACAAAACGAAAAGCACTTCGGTCGATATCCAAGACAGAAAGGAACTGAGCAAAACATTTGTGATAAAACGAGGCTAAAAACATAAACCGAACAAACAGGCACATCAGATTATTACTATTATTTTTAGAATGATATGTAGAAGCCTCCCTTTAATACTTTATAAAGCTTTGAATACTTCAACGATCATTTTGTATAACGTGGTAAAATAAACCTCATGTTTTCAGTGAGAAGCTGTCTTACTCTTTACATTGATATCGAGCGAGCAAATAAAGAGTGCATGCCGATTCCCGTTAGTGTTTTTCGTTTATTGTGTACTAGTACCATATCCATTGGAGTAGGGAGATTCGGCTCCTATTCCTTAGGTTTCTATGTGCTAACCGTTGGTATTTTCATAGGTTCACATGTCACTCCTCATTGTTCAAGACCAGTATGAAGTTAACTGTATTGAACTTAGCTACAGTTGTCTTACTTCTCACGCCCACTGAAGGATAAACAAGCTGTAAGGAGTCTGGTGCTGGGTGTCAGAACTTCATCGTCGATTGGCAGGATACAACAGGTGATGAAGGAGGGGGCTGTTTCATCGTAGATCAGAGGAAATCAATGGTGTGAGAATGCAATTGTAGCCGTATGTTCTGTGCATTCATTTCATACTTGAATGTCAGGGGAATAAGTTCAGCAGGTAGTTTAAACTTGTAGTTCATTAGAGTAGTTTTGTGGAAGGTGAGCATTCTTTCAAAGCACCTACATGAGTGAATTGCATTGCCTTCCACGTGACTAGGGTTATCAGTATCTATGTGAAAACCGGATTATTTTAAATAAATTTATAATGATTCAATCTGATTCGGCGTTCGAATTATTACAGAAAATTCGTAACATCTACGGTCTGGAAACTAATAAGCACCAAGGTAGTGCAACATTCACTATTGACTCTTACTACGTACATTGATTGGGCTAGATGGGAAGTAGACATCGAGTTACATGGATCGCTTATGTCAAATGCATTTTGGACCCTCGGTCTTGTTCTACACAGATAAGTGTCACCTGACATGATTGAGGTGGAGAAGAATTAGAGATGATCAAGCTACAACATGGAATTCATCCATGAAGTCATTGTTTCTTGTTCTTAGCCATGAATTGAGGTGTAGCTTGTCTGGCTAGCGATATTTGTAATAAACAAAGTAATATGGAATTGCATACTACCATAGTGATCAAGTTTTACGCATATGTTTTTAATTGTTATGTGAAGACAGTTCACTGACTTTCTGCCAATGAGTGCTCTGTTCGAATTCTACTCCACCTTGACAACTAGGTAGAGTCATTAGCTCTAACCTAATAGGTGTAGCAGAAATCCTTGTGTACAGGAAGATGCTGTTCCCAAAGTTACTGACTACCTATAAATTGTACAGTCAAAGAAACAGCTGGTATGTTCAGAGTTATTTAGTTTACTTTATGTTAAGTTAAATTCGAACTGTTTCCATAGCAGATTGTGAAACCGCATCTCAGAGCGATTGAATTTGGGAACTCTTTATTCAGAAAAATTTATATTATCGTTTCACCTGGAAGGACGAAATAAAATTTAACGGTTTGAAACACTTCATTGCACTTAGCATCTTTTGACTAGGGTTTGATTCCTGTATAATTTTGAGAGATGATGATGAATTCATAAGTGGTCACATCTCTAAAATGTCTCACTTTAGGACGACTAGTTCTGTGTAGTTTTTGATACAGTTTAGAGTAAAAAACGGATCAGAAGCAGACAATCGATACAATTTATGCATTCGAAAGTGGTAGTAAAATTTCAAAACTCCAAATTTGTACAATAATTAAAACTGTATTGCGCCGAAACACAATCGCTGATATAATGAAACACAAAATGTCATATAAATTCAAACTATTTAGAAATGAAGTTATTACCTCCATCTCTTGTGACTTGTTTTCAGTCTACTTCGAAGATTATCGTTTGCCATTAGGAGATTTCTTATTTTCTCCAGCAAAACAGCGATACATGGTTTGGAATGTAAGTTGTAGTGTATTGATGATGTATTTGATTTACTGACATCACATTTTGAATTTACTAACAACTCATTTATTTCTCTTTCAGCTGTTTCATTCAACTGCAACCCCCCCCCCTAAGTAATTATCCTCCTTGATTGTCCAAACAGCTGTATCTTGATTGAATCTCGCTTCAAGCTACAAAAATGGAGATAGTTTAGCGAAGAAGCCATTCATGTTCGTAAGAGATGAGGCAAATACATACAACTTAAGACTTTAGCTACTTGTGCTGTATATGAGTGGTCTTCTTGTGATGCTGTACATTTTTTGTGTGAAAAAAATATTTTCCATCTTGAAAACCACAAATCTATGTAACATTACACCATACATTATCTCATATCACTATCTGGAATATTCTGAAGTTTTAACTACCCAATAAACTTGTGCAAACCTTCGCCAAATTGCTCGTATATCATGAAATCTACGTTGAAACGCATCAGTTGGAGACAATCACGAATCTAATAGCGTGGTACTTGATTAACTGAAAGATAGCTGTAACCATATATTTAAATACCAAAAACATTATGAACACTTGTTTGTTGATGGTAGTCTAGCAGGAGAAACATCTACCCGGGGCTACTGAGCATTTGTGGTGTTTTACTTCATAATTAATGCTTTGAAGTAGTCTGGGATGCCTTCAAATGGGAAATTAAACTGATAACGTGTTAATGGACTACTTAAGTTATCGACAACATTAATTATTTCAACCTAAAGTATTCTATCATTCTACTTAAAAATAGTGAAATAATGTACAAACCATTTCTCCATTAAGGTCAAGTCAATTATACCACTACAACTTACCTCATAGCAGGATTCTTTACTTACATCCAGCTGAACATTAAGCCTTTCAATCTCTAGAGATGCATCTTTCGTAGCAGCTTGTTCTATTTCTAAATTCATCAACACTGATCTCATTTGTCCACGTAATTGATTGTCGTGTTTCATATTTAAGACTTGCATTTCTTCAACTTTTTCTCTTAGCTGTTTCGACGTACATTCTTTTTTTCTAACTGTGTTTTTAATTTGACACATTCAAATATGGCGTTTTCTTTTTGCTCTCGAAGTATATTAATTTCTTTATTGTGTAATTCTTGATCAATCGACTGACAATTCGATAATATAAAAACGGTGGATAATGTGTGGTTCTTACTGGTCTAACGCAACAAATGTAAAGATGATTGCATTACATAAAATAATGCAACGGGTGTGCAGACTATAAATCAGTATTATGATATCCATCAGGTCACATTCTGTGATCTGAATACTTCTTACTTCCGAACTGTATAATTTCCCTGTGAAGAATTCTATTCGATGTATTATGAGTTAGTGTGTTTTCAACTGATTCAGCTCTCTGAGTAAAGTTGAACAGACTACACTGCTGATGAAGTCAGCTGGATGTTAAATGAAATAACTGTGCAGTCATTAGATCACTTTGATCTGCCTGGAAACAACTACTGTTTGATGTGAGTGGTATTCAGCTATTCATATGAACCAGTGGTATATACCATTATCTTGTAGATTTTCACTTGATTAAAATGAGAGATTTGGGTTGATTTTTGTTAAAGTAAATACGTGACCAGAGTGAAACCACAATCGTCTCCCTTTGAACTTTGTCGGAGACAATTTAAGTCCTACAATAGTTCAAGACATTAAAGGAACTCTTAATTCGAGCCTCCTTCATTCAGTATTAGAGTGAGAAAGCATTCATCGGGTTGATACAGAAGTAGATCAGAAAACGTTTGCTTCTGATTCACTTCTAGCATCTCACGTTTTGTATTATATAAGGCCATACTGCTACACGGACTGGCTTAGTCCAAATATTTCAAATAATATACTTGTTTAATACTAAGAATAAAGCAGTAGAGTCTATATAATACTCTATAGAGCACTATGTTTTCGGCTGATTCCACTGACACGGAGTGTTTCCTGTTGATTTGAATGATGCAGTAGTAATCTCTGTACATAAAAAGAGGATCTAGGCAGTTTCCCTAAAACTGCAGGGTTATTAGAGTCACAGGAATTCGGGTTAAGATGTTTGGGAGAAGTGATAGAAATCCTTTCACATTTGGAAAACAACGACATGTTATCCGATATTGTGGTTTTTGAGAAACTATTTAGGTTAGGGGAGAAAATCCGGATCAGATTTAGAGATAATAAGAAACCTAGCATCTGTCTCCGTGGAATTCAGTTGGATTATCGACAAAGCCTGTCCCACAAGATCGCTAATGGGACTGGAACGTTATGGAGTGAAGTGCTGCCTGCTCAAATGGATAGTGGGACTCCTTTTAGATAGAAGAGCGAAAGTCTCATGATCAACTCAGACAAGAATGTGTGTTTGTGTACCCCATACTGCTGTACTTGTCTCTTTCCTCCTCATATAGTATGTCGACGAATTTTGTGGGTTCTCCCGATCTCCTATGGTTCTGCACGAAATATAACCTAGAAAGCTGGAACATCTCAAATAATATGGCAGAATAGTTCAAAGACCAAGGAGGAACTACACCCCTGTGGAGTGCTGGTACTCCGACTAACTCCTCACCTACTTAAATGACTTTTGTAAGGAGTGTTGTCTTCCGTTCTCCATAGACTCTTTGAAGAAGGGATTATGCAAACACATAAGAAAAAGCTCCAGGCCATCCTCCCAAAAGTAAGAATCTCAAAATATGGTTGAATCTATGGAGTGCATGCGAAGCAGTTCTCTGCAGTGTGCAATCCTTAAACTGCGGAAATAATGGAGCTGCCACAAATTCATGGATCACCAGTTATAACACTCACAAGGTCACGTCAAGCTGAAACCAAGTTGAAAGGAATGAAAACAGTTGGTAGGGGTTTCAGCTGCATCCCCCTATTCATCGGTCACTAGAGTGCTATTCAAATAACTTGTAAAGGGTGTCACACATTAAGTAATTCGGTGATAGATGATTTAATGAGAGGATTAAGCCGTGGATACGCCATAATTCCATTTGGGTACTAACCTACGCCGTATTATCTGACTTTTGAAGCTGGTGTCTTTCTGCTAAGCGTTTTTACCGATAGACAGACTCTTACTTTACATTTGAGTGATCAAAACTCTTAATTAATTATTGAGGTGCACACTCAGAAATTGAAATGTATCTGTATAATTTGGTTTTTCATTTGCTACATGGTTTAATTCTGGTGGGGAATAACATACATAGCGCTTGTGCCGCTAGTAATTGCAGACCTCAGTTGAATGATATCTCACTTCACTTTCGGTCACGTTAAAATTAAAGCAAACACTGCTATAAGCGCCGCTGACTGTTGTGTGATTTTCGTAATAACTTTATAGTAAAACAGTTTTGCATCAAGGCTGTTCATTTTACCACCTCGACCACTGGTGGCACACTTAGTTATACAACCTGAAGCAATCCTTGTGGATTTGTATTAAGACATAGAGTCCATTAGGTTATTCTGGGATACCCAGGACATACGTGGTGCAAGTTTGTATTGTGTCCCACTAGAATGGAGCCTTAGTAGTGGTTTTTCTTCAGTGTAGTTTGTCGTACCCAGATAGGAATAACAACATTACGAACGTTTATCGGGAAACAATTGACTAACAATACCGTTGTATAGAAACAGTCATAAGCCGTCACATTCTGTAGTGTGAATTTTGACATGTTGCCGAGGTTTGGCAAGTCATGTGCGAAGACATAGTAAAGTCCGAGTGAGATAGGAATAACTTAGTTCCATTTCATGAAAAAGTTGGGCATCGGATATTTTACCGACAGTGTTTCGATAACAGGAATCATTCACCACTACTGAGAATTCACAGCATTTATCTGTGAACACGATGTGGTAGTGTTGGAGAAGCAGAAACTTGTTTAGAACGTTCGAATGACTCCAGGCTTGGTGCCTTCTTTTCCCCTCATAATAGGGAGTCGACGACACCATTCTAACGTCCCTATTTTTATGAAAGTGTGCTCTTAGATACCCTTCATTCACATCACCATCCTATACTTACCTCTTATGGCAAATTCGCTAAACTTCTTACATGTCTGACACCAGAGGATTTTATTTAAATTTCCACTTTTGTAAAGAGCTAATTTGTGCAAACCTTGGAGTTTCATTGTGCGTCGGTAGCTCAGCGGCAGAATGCTCGCCAACCTTGCACGGGGTCCGATTCCCAGATGGCGCACACATTTAATCACCCAGCTGGTTGTGAGCCGAAGAGAGAGGAGAGGGAAGGTCAGGTGTGAGGCTAGCGATCCCACCATGTAGAAACCACCAGTGGTACAGGAACTTCAAAGTTCAAGCTGGAAACCGTGTCCTTTTCGGAACGCAAAAGGAATAAAATAAATAGTAATAAATAAAATTGAGGTTCTATATGGGTATTTCAATTATTCATAATCTTGCACAATCATCCCTCCTTTAGTAGTAATAGGATCACGATTTTCAATATTATGATTCAATGAGACATGCGAAAACCATCCTCCAAATAAGAGTTTTCAGATGGCACCTCACCAGGTCAAATTGAACTGGGAGAATTATCTCCTCTGATATTGTGGAGGAGTGCATCAAAATCCACTGCAGCGCTTTGATTGATGACAATGTTTATACATGAACAACACAGCGACACTATAACGTATTAAATATGTTTCCGGTTGTGCTACTATAGTACATCCACGTTTTCACCTTCTGCTACTTGCTAACGCCGTACACGGCCAAAGACGAACAACGTTGTATTCAGAAGGACAACTGAAAACTTGGAAAGATGTATTGTTAACGAAATCAGATTTCAAAGAGCCCAAGGTGAACGCAAATGTGTATGACAGCGTAAAATAGATATGTAACAAGCTAAAAGCAGTGTTCAATAACACAACGGCAAATATTCCGCAGGCATAAGTAAAATTATTTACTATAAACTTATTATATGGGCATGTGAATCAGCTTTATAGGCGTACAGTTAAGCTTAATATAGGGTCGTTACAACACAACGTTTACTGACTG